CTGTTTGGCCGCCTCAAGTTTTGCCATTAAGTTAGGCTGGTAATGATAAACCCAAAAGCAGTTGACCCTGTCTCGATGCAAATAGATATGAGCGTAGAGGTTTAAAAGGCTTCCCAAACAACATACGACATTGCAACAGTGGAAGAAGTTACACCAGGGAACCTGTTTCGGAACCAGGTAGGGCCAACACATCGATCTACGAAGGGTGCCATAGTCGAAACAAAAGTTTTGGAGGCGAGAAACAAATTGATGTACTTTATGAACGGTATTTATGAAGAAGTATCTGTGGGGTAACTAAGGCAAGTTAAGTGCCTTCGGTGCTCCTATAATCATTTTCTACCACCAGGGCCTTCGAAATAGTTATCCCTAACTTTGGTTCAAATGTGCCATTCAACCAAAGTTGTAAGAGCCACAATGGGCCAGAAAAGGAGGTGTTTTTTATAGGTCTCTAAGTGGTGTTTTAGTTTATAAGAAGTAGTACCTATTGATTAATATATGGTGGCTAGAAGTAACTTGCCAAGTGATATCTTTCGATCCTCATGGAGTTAAATTGCTAAGGGGACGTATTTTTTTTGGCTATTTGCAATGAGCTTAAGAAAAAGAAGTAGAAGGAAATCCTAAGGTTTCAAAAAAGCAATATGTTATTGCTCAGAGACCTCTTATGTAGTTTTGTCGTAATGGTCATTGATAAATTTTTTGAAAATGTATCAATCAAAGGCAAATTCATTAACAGTTTCCAGTGTATGGGTAAAGTTTTCACTTGTGGGTTGAAGCCCAGTGATAGCTACTATGTCGAATAGATTCGGCGTAATCATCCCACAAGAAAGTTGGAATATGTTTGTCGAACCTTCCTAAAAGAATATTGAAGCAAGCAGCATAACATGGTTATACTTAAGGTCGGTCCAAGACAATTGAATTATGTCAAAAATACCTATGTTTTCACTATTATTTCTTTTTTTTTTTAAACTTTGTCGAGCCATGCAATATAATCCTTATTTTGGGGTGGAGGTGTTGATTGAAAAACAACAATAGGCGTTTCCATAAATTTTAGGTCGAAAAAGCGTTCTTCGAACGCATAAGGCATGGTAACGAATAACAATGAAAGAAATTCTTCACCTTCCCAGAGTGTGATATGGTAGTGGGAAATGGGCCTAGAAACGCAAGGAGTTTATCAAAAAGGGAAAATGAAATGAGTAACTGTTTGGCATAGATGGAGATTTTTTTCCTTAGCAAGTGGTGGTTTAGGCATGATGTCTCTTTCCTTTTCCTCCTCTGATGTAGGAATCACGAATGCAAGTAGGTTCTTGTCGGTAACTGGTGTAGAGGTTGTAAAAGTAGCCATTGTTTCTTCTCTTGAAGCTTTATGAGAAATAAGTTTTTTTTAGAAAACAGACTAATGTGTGCGAACACTTGAAGTTGGAAGAGATGAAAAGCGGAGACTGGTATTTATAGAGGTTGGTGGTGGGCAACCGTTTGACAAGTGGCATTTGTGTGGCAATTGGAGACGATTCCTCTTCAGGAAATGGAAACGTTAGCGGGCTAGGGAAGTTAATGCCCACTCTCCTAGGAAGTAGAGGTCATGATGGTTTTCTTGCAAAAAACCATGTTAAGCAGACGTTTGTGAAAAAGCGCAATGATGACACTAACATCAGTAGAGTGGTCTAAACAGTGTCAAAGAATGATCAAAAGGGCCAAATTTCTCCCTTTCAACACTTGTGTGGTCGAAGAATGGCATTTTGGGGGGCAATTTGTTACCTCATATTTTCAACACAGGTAATAAACGTGAGGATTCAGGTTCGAATATGGATATATTAGAAATTTAAGGTTTTACCCATAATCAAAGTGGTCATTTTTTACCAAAAGACCACCTAACCATTTAAGGAGAATTTTTTGTCGAAAGGGGTTGAGAAGCGGGTCGAGAAGTCCTTTAAAGACCCTGGTCAAAGTAAATGACTTGGTGAAATTTGGAGTTGTTAGTTGACATGAATATCATGTTTTTATCGAAGAAAGTTGGATAAGATCATACAGTTATTCGAGGACACGTGGAGATATGTCAAGGACGAAAGATGCATGAAGACGAAGACGTGTCAAGTTTTGCTAAGTAGACCATTGCATACGATTATGTTAGGACTAATATATAATTAATGTTTGTTTAAAATTTTAGGGGTCCACAATTCTAGACATTGCGCACTCAAAGTATCCAACTGTGAACGTGAGAAACAAGTTTTCCAATGTATGTACTTGCGTTCCATTAATAAATTTAATCTTTTCCTTTAAATTTTACTTTATCCATTTACTTTGTTGCATCATCTTTTTAATTCAATGTTCTTGATGTTCATTGTCAATCTCTCAAAACATACAATTTTTCATACAAATCTGTCCCGGGATATTTTTGAGTTTTGTCCCTTAAGTAAAATCAAACTTGTCTTTGTTTACCAAATTTCATGGTAAACAATACCTCAACAAATCCTTCACACTCAAAGGACATAATTGCTCCAAGAAGTTAACACCATCTTTCTCAACCTCATTAAGCTTATCAAAATTATAATCAATAATGGATAGAGGTGCATTTTTCTAATATAGGGGGAACCAATAAGTGTCGTCCTCGTTAAAAATAATCTCAATGAAATTTAATAGCACCTCAAACTCTGCTAAAAATATTTCTCTAGTTATTATTGTTAGATGATTAATGGGTAAGAAATGCCTTTTCAAACATTGCAATAACAGAAACTAAACCCCTTTGGTCTCGTATAAAGAAAAAAAGATATCCATAGCATGGGTAATTTCAATACTTCTACAAAGAATTTCAAAACCACAAACAAAGCCCAACTATTAGGACGGAATTGAGAAACAACGACATTAATAACCTTCAATACATCCTCTATAAAAATAGTGAATGGTACCCCCCAACTTCAAAGTCTGCTATCACCCCAATATAAAAATAAAATATTCATTGCCTACCCCTTTCAGTTGTGGCATGCACACCTTTTTAGCATTTAAATAAGGCTTTAGCATTACATCATCATCATTTCTTGTATTTGATACATTCAATCCAACTCAATAAGTTTGGATCCAATCTTTTTTAATATAGTAAGACTGAATGTTTGTCACTTCATCACATAAAGCGCCACCTCCTAAAATGGTGACCTCCATAAGCAACCTCACTAATCTCTGAAAAAGGGCGCTAAATCGACATTATTATCACTTGAGACATTGTTTAATATCATTAGGTCAACTCTCATAGCCACTCAACATTTTTATTTCCAGGAGCCTTCAATCTACCTTACCATCGCCTCGTGTCAAGCTGTTCAAAAATCAAATCTACTTAGAATTTGTTTTTGGTTCAACAATTTTCCTCGAAGAATCAAACTCCTTAATAAATACCATACACCGATAAGTAAAAAGGGAAATACAAGATGATAAAAAGTAAAACAAATGACCGAAAGAGGAGCAAATAAGATGACAAGTGTTCTTTATTCACTAAATGTATAAGAGGGATATCAATGTAATAAAAAGAAAGAAGAAAACTGAAAGCTTTATCAATAAAAGCTTTAGAGAAAAGTATAACTATAGAGGTCACAAGTTCCTTAGTCATATAGGTCACAAGTTCCAAGGATCGTGATTATTATGCTAGTTTTAAGTGGATGATACAATGTTCATAATATTCCAACAGAAGGGCACTAAGGATTGAAACCAATTAGAAGAAAAAGGCAAAACACATAGTCCATATACGCCTCATGCTTGGGTAATGTGTACCTATACCTATATCAGCCTATGTATGTTTGATTTCCTTATAAGTCAAAGCACTTTGTCACTATATGCCTTGTGTTTGAGAGAATGTGTATCGATATGCCTATACTGACCTCCATATGTATGGTTTCTTTATAAGTCAAAACACTTTGCCCCTACATACCTCCTGCTTAGGGAACTGTGCACCAATATGTTAAGTATTACAAATGTGAGTAGTGTGGATAATAGTCTCATATTGGTTAGAAATGTGGAGACTTGAGCATTTATAAGTGAGAGAGCCCACCCACCTATCATCTTAAGGTTTTAGGTGAGTATGTGGTGTGTCTCTCACAAAGGTGTTGCTCTAAAAAGGAATTTCCACAATGTTCAATGCTCCATAGTGAAAATCTCCCCTAACAGTGGTATCAAAGCCTTTGTTTTGAGTAAAGGACTGACTGACTTGTATCGAAAGTACACCACGCCGATACAAGTGTATGTGGATGAAAGAGCTTCCGATTAAGGGGGAGCATTGTGAAAGCATTATGGGTAGACTCGCACTTGAGGGGGAGCATTGTGGAAGAATTCTGGGTAGACTCACACTTGAGGGGGAGCATTGTGGAAGCATTATGGGTAGACTCACACTTGAGGGGGAGTGTTAAGTATTACAAGTGTGAGTAGTGTGGATAATAGTCTCATATTGGATAGGAATGTGGTGACTTGAGCCTTTATAAGTGAGAGTCACACAATGTTCAATGCTCCCCAGTGAAAATCTCTCCTAATAGTACTTTGTATCGAAAGTATCCTCATAGGCGGTGGATTGAGTGTATGTGGATGAAACTTCCACATTGGTTAGAAATGTGAATATTTGAACATTTATAAGTGAAAGAACTCACCCATTTATCACTTTAAGATTTTGGATGAGTATGTGATATGTCTCTCACAAAAGTATTCATCTAAAAAAGAAATCTCACAGCATTCAATAATCACTAGTAAAAATTTCCTCTAACACATTATACTCTCTTTGAAAATTATTAGAGATTCATGACTAAGAACATTAGAAGAGAATTAATCTCTCTTCAAATATCTCAAATATAGGGAAATTTTCATTCAATTGTTTAAATATTTTACAAACATAAAAAAAAAAAAATGAAAAAATGAAATAGATAAAAGTTCATTCCATTTCTTCTGTTCTGAGGTCGCTTCCCGTTTGAACTAGACTCGCCTCCAAACCACTACAGCAGTAGCGGCGATTGGCAGAATCTCCGATCTCGATGTTTCATTATCACCGTCTCCGAACTCTCCTCTACTCCCAAACCCCAAAATGTCACCTTCTTCAAAGAATCCACTCTTTCAACTTTTTCTCCACCACCACCACCACATCAGATTCAGATAAACGATCCTTCACCATTTCCTACCTCACTAACAACTGTGGTTTATCTCCCCAAGATGCTCTCAAAGCATCAAAACGACTTCGTTTCACCACCCCCGAAAAACCCAATTCCGTTATCGCCTTCTTCAAAACCCACGGCTTCTCCAATCCCCAAATCCAATCCATCATTCTCAAAGCACCAACAATCTTATCATCCAACCCCACCAAAACCATTCTCCCAAAGTTTCAATTTTTAGCCTCCAAAGGTGCTTCTCCCTCTGACATAGCCGCCACCGTCACCAGAAGCCCCCATTTCCTTGGCGCAAGCCTGAAACGCATGGTCCCTTCTTTTGAATTGGTAAGAAGTTTCTGTCCCTCTGATCAAAAAGCTATTACTTCAATAATTTTTTGTCCTTCTTCCATTAGTGATATCCGCCTGAAACCAAATCTTCAATTTTTGCTTGATTCCGGTGTCACTCCTTCGAGCATTTACCGTTTGCTTTGTTCTAGACCCTCTGTAATTTGTTCTAATGATTTGAGAAAGGCTGTGGAAGAGATTAAGGAATTAGGGTTTGATCCTTCCAAGTACAATTTTTGTGTGGCATTACTTGCCAAGAGGGCTATCTCTAAATCCCAATGGGATGCTAAAGTTGATGCCTTGAAGAGTTGGGGTTGTTCTGAAGATGTGATTTTTGAGGCTTTTAAAAGACAGCCTAACTTTATGCTACGGTCACCGGAGAAACTCAATGCAGTGATGCGTTTTTGGGTCAAGGAGCTTGGTTGGGATCCTTCATTGCTACTGGCAGCACCGGATCTTTTCGGATTTAGTATCGAGAAACGGTTTATTCCAAGGGCTTCTGTTATCAAGTATCTTCTTTCCAATGGTATGATGAAGAAGGATGCTAGCTTAGTGACACCGTTTTGTTTGTCTGATGAGTTGTTCCTGCAAAGGTATGTGAAACGTTTTGAGGATGAAGAAGCATCTTGGCTATTAAAGCTATATCAAGGTTAGGATTCTAGCATCTGGTGCTTGGATAAGTTGTTAAGACACATTTTGTTGTAACTGAATAAACCAGCCATATTATGTTTATTCATCTTGTTATACTTGCTCAGTAAGTTGCAACCTTTTCTGTTGTTGGTCATAGTTTTGACTTATATCCTCATGTATTATGGGATTAGGACAATGCTTGGATGACCATTTAGCTCACTGTTGAATTCATCATAATATCAATGGATTCTTGATGATTATAACAAGAGCAGGGGAATGGTGAGCAGTTAGTTGCATACTAATTTGCTAGCCAAAAAAGCTATTAGGGAAAATAACAGCATTAGGTTCAATAAGCCCTATTGTTGTAACATTTTCAGTGATAATTAATCTATGAGGATTTTTTATTCAATTTTTTTACACCATATTAGTGTCTGCTTATATGCTATTTGAGTTGATATTCTTCTTTTTCTTGTGATATAGTTGTCTGGATACCGCTGTTAAGCCGCATTTTTGTCTAATGTAAAATCATACTACTATTTGAAATCTATTACATAGAATATCTATATAGGACCTGGCAACCCTTTTCCTTTAGTCCTAGAAGATTAATAGACTTTTGAGGAGAAGTGGTATGCAGCTGCCCTATATGAAGATTTACTTTTATGCATTGTTTTTTTGACTGGAATTTCACCTTTTAAAAATGAATAAGTGGGATATTACGAATTCGAACCTGAGTCCATGCAATCTGATGTCTTTGCACAACTACCGACTAAAGTAACTTAAGAGGACTGCATTGGTTTTTATGTTAGAGGAAGTTCCTATTTGACTGTTCTATGACACAACCAACACTTCTTTCCATCTCCGTCATTCATGCCATTCTTTCCTTCTCTTCAAATAATAACTTTATGAAGTTTACCTTTCACCTTACCAATGATCAAATATGACTCTTATATGCATCCAAGCCTGTCAAGCTGAGTCAAGGACTTTCTGAGATCAGTTCTGAACAATTTTCTGGCATAATTCAAATAGGTTTGTTACCAGATTCGATTCAAAAAACAAGGATGTTCTTGACATGTTCAGTTCTTGTTTTTGTCAGGTGATGCGGGGCTCAGAGAATCATTTAGTGTTTAGTATAAGTTTGAGAAGAATGGTTCAGGTGATTTACTGATGTTTGCACATCCTTTTACTCTTTAGTTTTTTTTTCTAAGGAAGATTCAAATGTTACTGTTTTGATTGATTTTAAGTATATCAGCATTTTCAAACTCCGAATGTTGGCTTAGGTTGAAAATGCCAAACACTCAAAGATAATAATAATAGTATCAATGAGTCATTTTGTATTGACATCTGGTTGTGTGTTTTCCAGTGCTTTGGCAATTAATGTTCTGAATATTCATATTATTAAAAGAAAAAAAAAGGTTAAAGTCAAAGATGTTGTAATATGATTTGTTAGAATTGTATAATAAAACATAAGTTTGGCCGGGAACATGCAGAGTGGAGTTGATAGATGGTGCCTATATTTAATCTGTTTCAATATTTCTTTGAATTGAGCGCTTCTACAATTGAATTTATTTCTTTGGGCGAGGAATTTATAACATTAGGCAAGTGGATCTTGCTACACAAGACATTATAATGAGACACTCCTAGTAATTTATAGAGAAAAATCAAATTTATACCGGAATAAGAGGGATTTTGAAGTTGTGATGGTTGAAAGAAGACTTATAAAAATTAATTAATACTACTTATATTAACATGTATCTTCTTTTCGGTAATTCGTTTTATAAAAACTCCATAAAAGTCTTTGTTGACAAGTTTTGAAAAATTAAGAGACTTAAATAATGTAAGGACCAAAATAAATTTTATCTTAAAAATATAGCCAAAAATATATAATTTTAATTAAGGATCCAAAGCTAAACAATTAATTAATTAAAGGGCTAATACATGTATTAGGTCAAAAAAATTTCATACGATTCCCACTATTCCTTTACATTTCACTCTCATCTACTCTATTCCATTTGGTTATTTTTCGATACGATTGTGATATTCAAATATACCTAATTAAAAAAAAATCATAATCACTTCATGGTTCATTGTCACCGTCTCAGGAGAGAGCCTTGTGAGACGCCCTCAAATTACTGCGCCAGTTGTTGTAATTTTGCCGAATCATTTCACTCATGTTTCATCTCAGACCTCTTGTGTATCTCAACAAACTTTCTTCAGACCCCAAATGTCACCTTCTTCTTCTTCTTCTCAAAGCTCACTCTTTCAACTTCTTTTCCACCACCAACGCAACCACTTCAGATTCCGACCAACAATCTTTCGCCATATCCTACCTCACCAACAATTGTGGTTTATCTCCTCAAGATGCTCTTAAAGCATCCAAACGACTTCGTTTCAACACCCCCGATAAACCCGATACTGTTATCGCCTTCTTCAAAGCCCACGGCTTCTCCATTCACCACATTCAATCCATTATTCTCAGGAACCCTCAGCTCATTCTTTCCAACCCCATCAAAACCATTCTCCCAAAGTTTCAATTTTTAGCCTCCAAAGGCGCTTCTCCTTCCGACATAGTCGCCGCCGTCACCAGAAGCCCTTTTTTCCTTCGTGCAAGTCTTCACAAACACATTATCCCTGCTTTTCAATTGGTAAGAACTTTCTGTCCCTCGGATCAAAAAGCTATTACTTCAATCATTTTTTGTCCCTCTTCCATTTGTGATGTCCGCATGAAACCAAATCTTCAGTTTTTACTCGATTCCGGTGTCACTCCTTCTAGCATTTACCGTTTGCTATGTTCTAGACCTTCTGTAATTTGTTCTAATGATTTGAGAAAAGCCGTGCAAGAAATTAAGGAATTAGGGTTTCACCCTTCCAAATACAATTTCTGTTTCGCATTATTGGCCAAAAGGGCTATCACCAAATCCCAATGGGATGCCAAAATTGATGCATTGAAGTGCTGGGGTTGCTCTGAAGATGCAATTTTTAATGCATTTAAGAGGCAACCCAACTTCATGCTTAGGTCGCCGGAGAAACTCAACGCAGTGATGACTTTTTGGATCAAACAGCTTGGTTGGGATCCTTCAGTGCTCTTGGCAGCACCGAATATTTTCGAATTTAGTCTAGAGAAAAGGATTATTCCTAGAGCTTCAGTTGTCCGGTATCTTCTATCCAAAGGTTTGATAAAGAAAGGCGCTAGCTTGCGTGCACCGTTTAGTTTATCTGATGACTTGTTCATGAAAAAGTATGTGAATTGTTATGAGGCGGAAGCATCTAGGCTATTAAGGCTATATCAGGGGAAGAATGCTAGCATATAGTGCTCGGATAAGTTGTGAATTCATCTTGTTCTTTTTGAATGGTGTTGTTCTACTTTCTCAGTAATTTGAACCCTTTTTAGCTTTTGGTACATCTTAGTTTATGTTTGAGTTGTGCCCTGTCTCAGTAACTTTGCATTGGTATACTGCCATAATGATTTTACAAATACCAAAACTTTTTTGCACAATCATTTGGGCTTACATGCTTATGGCTTGATTGTGCTTCAATGCTAGGAAAACTCAATAACACCTAAACTATTCACGGTGTTATAGAACTCTGCTGAACATGTATGATACTGCTGGTGGGTTCCTTGAGATAAGAAGTCGTATCAGAACTTGGAGGGTCTGCACCTCCCAATCCCTTTGAATTGTCACTTGTTGTATATTCAGCTATCAATTGGAATTCATCTATTACATTGAATTTGGCTTATGTTGTCTTTTATGGTAATTTTGAATACGGAGCTTGAAAATGCCAAGCACATACCAATGCGTCATTTTGTGCTGACAGCAGACTATTCATTTTCCTTTCCTTTGGTAATTAATTTGTTTTCTTAATCTTTTTTTGTGAGCACTCGTAAAATGATATTTTCTATAAGTGTATTTCAAGTTTCAACATTTACATATATTTTCAATGATAACCGTTAGGAAAAGAGTGATTTTTTTATTTAATAAAAGTTAAAATATATTGATAAAAATGTTCATTTCTTGAGTGTACATAAAACGTATTAAGCAAATAAAGAAGTAAATTATTAAAAATAGTATCGACTATAATCTAAAATTGTATCTACTACGGCCTATTCTAAGCAACAAATAGGTTGCCCAACCTTGCCTTTTGTTTTAGCAACAATTTTCTGTTTTTATAGCAACTATTTTTTGAGTGTTGCTTATAACCGTAAATGTTATAGTGATATACTCTTGAATAATGCTTTTGAAACATAGTGAATTCTTTATTCATGAACAAAATGGAGTTTTTGAAAGGTCTTTAAAAAATTATACAAGATAGATTTAGAAAAAGTACAACCATATTTGACACCTGAATGAGTACAAACTTTATCGTAAACTACTTCAGAGATTGCAAGAGGAAATTTTTTATCCCACTCTTTGACCTTTTTAGACACCATGCGTTCTACCTAAAATACCTCATGATTTCGATGATATATATTCGGACACATCAATTTTCAGTTTTTTTAAATTAATTTCGTAGATGCGTCTATGAAATATTTCTGTATGCGTATTTATGGAAGAAAACCAGAAACAGAATACTAGAAAATCAACATTGCAACGATAAAATCAACATTCATAAAATAAAATCGGCGTTACATTGATGATTTCGACAGAAATTTAAATACTACATTTCAATAGCCCGATAAACGCTTGCACATCTCTAAGATGTCATCGACCGTTCTTCGGACCGTCGCCTCCAACTCGAGCGGAATTTTCTCTTCGAAACTGAAATACGTTTGCCATATCGCCCTAACATCGTCTTGATTCTTGAGTTCAAACTTGTTGTAAACAACGTTTCCTTCGTTGTCAACTGAAGGTGAACGATACTTAAACTTCACAACCTTTTGTTTGTCATTGTAAGGTAGGTGATATTTGATCTTGTCTATGATATCGGCGAAGGGGTGAGATCCATGAACTTGAACGTCCTCCCGGGTGTTTTGCCGTCAGAAAATGAGACACTTGCGACATACCAACGGATCTTGCTTTCACACAATTGAGACATTTTTGTATTTGTGTGAAAGATAACAAATGAAACCTCAATTTTATAGAAAACCTAGGTGAATATGGACCAACCATTTTCTGCCAAACTTTTTTTGGGAGCTATATCCACAGAACGACCCTATAATTATTGGTTCTGGAGGTGTATCTCCGGAACTATCCCTGAATTCAAAACGAATCAAAGCAAGTGTCGCCGGCTAAATGTATTGGTGGTACTGTTGACTGGGAATTTCGACGCCATGTTTTCATTTGAGAAACTAAGTAAAAATGAAAGTTTCTTGAGTTTGGTTGATTTCGACAAAGATTGGTGTAAGGTTCTGTCGAAATGGTTCTCAAAGAGATATGCTTGAGCAAATAGTTAGAAATATTTTCTAAGTATATGAAGTTATTTCGACGAAGGGATGATATAAGACCTTCCTTCTACAAACATTTGAATTTCAAATATGGATGAATAATTGTCGTTTGTCCTTATTCGTTTCTTAAGAGAAGACGTGTTGCGAACCGTGGTGAAACAAAAGCATGCAGGGGCGAAATGTGTCAACTTTTGAAGAAATGTTCGTTAGAGACAATTATTTCGATGCATTATAAATAGGGGTCTTAGTATTAGGATTTCTGTGTGTTCAATTATTGTACTATACTCAAATTTATCAAAGTACCCAAGTTAACGTGAGAAAAAAGTCATTGTTGAGAAATATACGTTTGGAACACCATACATTTCATTCAATAGAAATTTACTTTATTTTACTAATTTCTCTTTGCTGCATTTCTTTTACTTTGAAGTTATTTTTCTTCATTGCTTTACTTTACCAAACTTTTATAAAGTTTAGTCTTTCGTTCAAACAAAGCAATCAAACAATACTTTTTACAACCAATGAATATTGTGGAAGTCTTCTACAAGTTTTCCAGAAAAATGTAAAACACAATAGCTATATCCTTAGGATTCACTGGTTGATCCTGCAAGTGAACCAAATCAATTAGTATTTTGAAAGACCAACGACTGTTTACCAATTTTCACGGTAAACAAATTGGCACGCCCGGTGGAACCGTGTTATAGTGTGTTAAAATATTTTCTTTTACTTTTTCTGGATTTTTTTTTGCATTTAAGTTATTCATTTTTACGATCTTTCTACGCTTCGTTGCATGAGACTTAGGAGTGGTAACATAGCCACAAAGAAAGGCCTAGAAGGAGATACGTAAGGAGAATGGTGAATCCAAATTCACCAAATGATGGAGTATCATCCCCTTGGTCTTCGGGGGGCAATACGGTTTCAGCGTCAGTATCTGAAGCCACACTAGCCACGACAAGTTCGACTCCTATGCAATTGATTGCTCAAAGTGGTCCCATATCACCCTATGTGGGAACACAAAGTCTACCATCGACTCCCCCTCCTATGGGGCATAGTTCATTCAGACCTTTTGTGCATGGGTTTACAGTGCCACCGATAGGACGTGATCAACCTTATGGTATGCTAACATTAGTGATGGCAAGTTTGGACAATGCCTCATTAGCATTTGCAGACCTAGTGGTGAATGTCACTTCGCCACTACAAGGATTTGGTTCAGGAATAAATAATATGGGTTGAATTAGCCAATAATTGGGAAATGGATTTCCTACCCAAATGCCAAACATTACCAATAATTTTGCAGCAGTGATAAGACAACAGATGGACAAAAGTAACCATGAAATGGTCCAGATGCTTGCCCAACAGATGGGGGTTATATTAAATCCCCTAATCCAGAATACTACAAAAACCAACCAATAGTTAGTGTCACACCCTAATTTTTGACCTTAAGATCCCGCCTCCTTGTATTTGTTCCTGCTTGTTTATTCTACTTGTGTGTACATGCTTATTATGGCTAATCAACTTGTGCAGATGCATTAATTTCAAGTGGAGACAATGCTCGTTATCACCGTCAAACATGTCGGAGCATAACCCTTCTGATTCAAGGATCCTAAGGTGTCTCGCTGGGGCTGATATTTTTTTACTAAGGATCAAGGGCTTTTCATCAAGATCCCTCAAGAGATATGGTGCATTAATCTCCAACTGAAGTTTGTTGGGCTTCGGTGTGTTAGACCATTGGTTTCAAGCCCGATTGCAGTATGAGGTGTTGTTTTGGGATTTTTCGCCATCATTAAGAGTTTCATGGTTTCATTGAGGTATTCCGAAATTAAGCTTTAAAGCCTTGGCTCGATAACATAACCATGATCCGAGCACCGTCCACATATCTAGGCTGCATTGTTTTGTGTAAATCCTACAAGAGTAAAACTTCATAAAGTTCGAAGATCTCAAGATTCAAGCCTTAATATCCATGAGTTTTAGTGAGGAATAACTTCTATGAGGTCACTACCAAATTCAAAGAAGTTTATGCATCACGTTGGATTCAAGATTTGAAAAATCCCAATTTAAGGGGAATGTAAGATTGAAAGAACTTTAAATTAAATCAATTCAATTAGAGTATAAGACATTAAGAATGGGAGCAAGAAATCACAAGGTTGCAAACGTAAAAGCCAAGTTTCAATATCCACTTAATGACAGATTATTCATATTAAGACCAATTCTTTCCTTCATGGCAAGGTTACCCAAACGAAGAGTGGAAAATTCACTTTTTTTTATTGACTCAAGTGTTCATGAACGAATTAGCAAGACAAGCTCATCCCAAGTTTAAGATTAAATCCTCACTCAAGAATGCAGTAAGAAGATGCACAATGAGATAGCTCGGTAATAGGATTTTTGACTTAAAGTATTTGTACTTTTTTTCCTATGTACGGTTGATACAAATCTAACTTGGCAGTAGATAAATGACAAAAGTACTTCATGACAAGAATGAAAAACCGCTGCTACAAAACCAGACCAAGACATCCTAAGACAAGTTTTCTCTAAAGATTACAATATGGTAAAATTATTCATCCTTGACCATCGTGTGATCCTAGCACCAAGGAGCTCCTAATGTGCAGACTGGAAAGCGATAGCATGCTGTTGACCTTCCCCCACCGGCGAGAGTTAGAGTTGGGGAGTGCAAAATTTTGATAATGCCAAAGAGTCCTTTGCTGCTTGGGACGTAAACCTCTTACCTTCACTTGTTGAGGAGGCCGATTCAGAGAATTCCAAGTTTCTTCCACATCAGAAGTGCTTGCATTTTTTAAAGATATAAACATGAAGAGCCACAAGCCAAACTAAGTTCCAGAGCTTACAAGGAAACCTGCCAACAGAATTGGATAAAGCTAATAAGGCAATAATACAATCTCTGCGACAAAGGCGCGATTCAAACATCCAAGACGA